AAATGTGAAAAAACAGGTTTTTTCAGAATAAAAAAAAAACATGAAAAAAACTGGAAAAAACACGTTTTTGTGTTTTTTTCCCAAATAATTTAATTTTAAAATTCGTGAGTATCTCCAAAAACGGACATTTGATAACCCTGGAGACGGAGTTACAGTCTGAAAATTCTTCAGACAGCGAAAGTGTCTCATATCAGTTCTGTTCCGTTCTAGTATGTATGTTATATGAATATGATGAATGTATGATGTGATATATGTGTGATATAATATGATAGTTGATACATTGATGTAGGTACCATGTACCTGACCTGAAAACATGTTTTATTAACATAATAATATTTTTCCTATGTTATTTCAAGAATAAAGCAATATTTTATGTTTTATCCATGACCATATTTCACTGCTTAAACCAATTTGTTGTCCCAAGAAAAGTTTAATTGGCCAAAAACGTAAAAAATGCGCATATGGTGCTAAGTTTAGAAAAAAAACCATTTGAAAAAAAACCATGAAAAAAAAACCTGAAAAAAAACAAAAAAAACGGATCGTTTTTTTTCATGTTACATCTCTAAGTAAGGCATACCAAGTCTTGGGCTTTATAATTAGAAACAGTAAAAATTTTGAAATACCAACTGTAATTAAATTATACAATTCACTGGTTCGCCCAAAACTTGAGTATGCTAGCTCAGTGTGGTTTCCAATTGCAACAACAAACCAAGATCAAATTGAAAAGGTCCAAAAGCGTTTTCTGAGATACTTATATGTTAGAAGGAACAATGAATACCCTTTTAGAATCTCCTACCAGTCGATGTTAAATAGCTTTAATTTTCAAACTTTATCATCTAGGCGTAGAGATAGAGAGTTCAAGCTATAATCTTAATTTATAATATTGTAAACCATAAGAAATATCAACACTGTGATCTTATCAGGCATATCAGTTTTAATGTTCCAAAAATTGGTCTAAGAATTGTCAATAGAGGATTATTCTGGGTAGACCCCAATGACAGTTTGTCCCCTGCTTTATCTAAAATGCAAATAATAGTAAATGAATTCCTGAACCTCTATAACAGAATAGATATGTTCCACAGCAGTCTGAGACAGATAATTTAATTGCCTTGATAACATCATAGACTGTCCTCATATTTTTAAGTTTTAAGTAGGTTTTTGTGTATTTTTTAATGTGTGTCTTTTTTACTTTGCATGTAATTACTGTAGGTGTTTGTAAAGTTATTCAATAAATGAAATGAAATGAAATGAAGATTAGTCCAATTATTAAAAATGGTGATAATTCTAAAACTGAAAATAACAGGCCAATCTTTAAAATTAATATTTTTGTCAAGCCAAGATGTTCGAATCAATAATTTCAAGACAAGATAACTCCACTATTCAAAAACATTACAGTTCCTGAGCAACATGGCTTTTGCAAAGGAAGAGAAACTGTCACAAATATGCTAGTTTATACTGACACATTGTTGGATTCTTTGGAGAGTGGTTATCAGGTGGATGCCATTTACAATGTATTTTCAAAAGCTTTTGAAACCCAGTTTGACAAGGAAAATAACAAAATTTTAATTGCAAAGTTGGGTTGTCTCGGTATGTATCTATAGTCCACTCTTGTCATTGATTGATAGTTATCCGACTGACAGATAGCAAATTGTTAGTTGGGGTAGTGGTTCTTGTCCAGGTTCTAGTCACCGCAAGGCTCAAGGTGGACATTTATCACCATTGTTTCTCAACTGTTTTATTAATGATTTAGCAAGTGATTTACCTAAATAGTAGATTTAGTTTTAGTCAGGTACTTCTCTCTGCTGATCTGAAATTATTCTCTGTTATAAAATCAACTGAGGATTGTATTAATTTACAATATGATATGACCTAGATCAGCTAAGTTAATGGTGTAATTGTTACAGAATGGTCCTTAAATATTGACAAAGGTTATTCAGCTCAGTAAAAAACTTGAAAATGTTATTTATAGATATAGTCGAGGGTATAGTATAAATTACTTGGATCTTGAAATTATTGATAGTATTCGTGATATTCGCATTATTGTTGACAGGCAGTTAAATTTTAAAAACCATATAGAGCAATGCGCTACTAAAGGATTGAAACTAATGAGATTCGTATCTAGGCAGTTTTCGGATTTCACTGATGTTTCAAAAGTGTTTATTGTGCTGTGGTGGTTCAATCATTGTCATTGAATATGCAATATGCATGCCCTGTACCTATGGTGCCCATATTATGGAATTCATAAATCTCTTTAAAAAAAGTGCAGCACTATTTTCGAGACTATTTTCTAAGGGTTATTGGCTTTAAACTAGGAATATCTATAATTTACGTGTTGTATAAAATAGTTAATTATTTTATTGACTGCCCGAATCTACTGAGAAGAATCCAATTTAATGTTCCTCAAAGAAATAATAGGATATATGATTTTTTTCTCAGTGTGTTTTCACAGAACTAATTATGGGTTATACCTACTGGCCAATAACTGTAGCCTGACTAGTCTAAAACAATTTTTTCCAAGAACACTAGAAAGACTGTACCTATGTTTGTTTATAATATTTAGGTAATTGCTTGGGTAATTGGTAGTGAATATTAACCTTTTTAAAAAAATAGATTTCTGGTAATAAAATATTTATCACAATATTCATCTATTTATTTATATACCTAACCATTTGAAATAAGATAGTAAACTCGAGAGTACACTGTAATTGTGTTGCTGGCAACAAGGAACTCAATTCAGAGATTTAAAAAATTGAAGAAAAAAGCGATGAAAAAACCTCAAAAAAACACATTGCTACTAAAGGGTATCCAAAACCAATTTTCAAAGTTCTACTTATGTCTATTGAATTACAAGATTCGATTAAAGGATAAAAAGAGAAAAATGAAATAATTTATTTACTTATTGCCTCAGTCTAGGCCTCTGTTATTGCACAGTCATGAAAACACATTTTTATACAGGGTGGCGCAAAATGAACGTTATAATTTGAATCCTTTATAACTTTTTTATTTTAAAGTAAATTGTTAATATATTTTTTTTTAACACAGTTTATGAATGGAGAAAATTTTTGACACAAATGTGAAAAATGACATCACGCAAGTATCTGCCATTTTCTGCTTCGCAAAGTCGTGCTCTTTCCGACACAATGTTGCATGACTTTTTGCAAAATTTCAGGAGTTATGGCAGGGATTTCATTAGGTGGTCTTCCGGCACCACAGAGGTTCCTTACTGAACCTTGTTGCTGAAAATTTGCAACCAGGCGATTTATTGTTGGCACGGAGGGTCCAAAACGCACGTTAAAATACCGACAATATGCACGCTGCGTAAGAACAAATATTGAGTTTCCATTGGCAAAGTAAAATTTAATGATTTTTGTTCGTTGTTGTATCGTGTATTGTTTCATTTTAAATTCCCCAAGTTTTTTTTACAAAATTCTGAAATGAAAGAGGAATTAAAAATTTTAATAAAAAAGTTATAAAACAATCAAATCATAACATTCATTTTGCGCCACCCTGTATTTGGCATTATTTCATCGGCAGTGGATAGAGGTCCGAAAATTCGGATCTCTAGTGTTCATACTAAAGATCCGATAATTTTCGGATTTTCAATTTGTATATTAGGGGTCCGAAAATGCGGATTTTTAGTGGTAATATTGAAGATCCGAAAATAGATGTTTATTTCTAATTCTGTCTAATTAAGGAGTATCGTCGCAAGTATCTACAAAGAATAATATTCGAGATAAGTCTGTTTCTGCAGAAATCACAAACCAGTCAGGGTGAATTTCATTGGTTGATAATAGTTTTCTGACTGTTTCTGACTGTTTTCAACCAATGAAATTTGCTCTGACTAATTTGTAATTTCTGCAGAAACAGACTTATCTTGAATATTACCTATTCTTTGTAGATATTTGCGACACCATTTTAATGAAACTAGCCCAAGAACCAAATACTACTGCACAAAAGCAATTAGAAGAAAAAATAAAAAGTATTAAATTTCCTTTGAAACCCATAAAGGAAGACCCAAAGGACATCAATTAACTGCAATTGGACTAAAAAGGTCTAAGAAAAATAAAAGTGTTTTATTCAAAAATGAAGTTCCTAAACTGAGGCACCAGATAATGCTTAATGCAGTTTTAAATACAGATGATTTGGTAAGCAAAGCATTACATAAAAACTTTAAAAATGAGAAATAAAACCGAGAATAAAACATTCCTCATCATCAACAAATTGATCCACTTCTTCTTGAAAAAAAAATATCTTTAGCAGAAATAGAAACATATTTTTGTCTGGATTCTTATGTTTTATTACAAAAACGAATTGGAGAAAAACAAAATAGTATTCTAAAATGGATTTGTGATATATGTAACAAAGTGATACATGAAGATTGCTTACAGTGTGATTCATGCCTTTGGTGTAAACATAAAGTGTGTTGTTTAGTAACAAAGTTGCCTTCTAGTAAGAAAGCCTGGTTTTGCAGTGCAAAAGGAACTAAATCACACCTCACACCTCTTACCCTATCAACCCTTAAAATGAAGAAATATTTATTTTTAATTACGTAATGTTTTAAAAAAAATAAAAAGGTACTTAGTTTTGTTTTTTGTACTTTTCTGTTTGAAATTGCACCAACCAAATATTTTCGAGTAAACTTGATTAGTTATTCTACATAAAAAGGATTAGAGCATCCATTTTTTCTAGTATAAATCCTTAAAAATACAACCATTTTATCAATTTTATTGAAATGGTATAATTAAGGAATCTTAATTACGACAGAATTCGAAATAAACATCTATTTTCGGATCTTCAATAATACCACTGAAGATCCGCATTTTCGGACCCCTAATATACAAATTGAAAATCCGAGAATTATCGGAACTTTAGTATAAACACTAGAGATACGAATTTTCGGACCTCTATCCACTGCCTATTTCATCAGTTATTGCTCTCCTATTATATTACATGTTCAAGATTACACTGGGAAAAATCCCAAACAAAATAAAGACACCTACCTTACAATATAATTCATCAGCTGTAACAATATCATGATGTTGTTCTAAAAATTCTCCATACCAATTGAGTACATCTGCATTGTCGGGTGCCATGGCATTAGCATGTTCAAAGAGTTTCATTGCTTTATTATTTTTCCCTGCCATCTTAAATGCAAGAGCAGCTTGAATGGTGTTATAAACTTCAGAGTCTGTACCCATATGTCTTTTACTACGATCTAAAACGTTCATACTGCCACTATCTTCTGAATCCAAATTCAACGCAGATGTTAGGTCTTTTAATACTGAATTTTCTAAAGAATCTTCATTGTGAGTATTGTGACTCCCAATGGGGTAGCCTAGTTCAAAAAATCTTCCATCTGTTGGAATAAGATCTTCAAATTCAGGATTAAAATTAGGATTTGAGAATGGTTTATGGACATTGATAATAAAATAGTAGTGTTGCACTTGTTGAAGTAAAGCTAGCAAGACACATATCACAGATATAAGGATTGATATTACTATGGCAATTTGCAATGGTTTTTTCTGCCACAAATTTAATATGAACATATTGCTGTCACAGTGTTGGGCATTTTATTATTTTTTTCCAATGTCGGTCTCGAGAAATAAATAACATATAAATAATAAGAAACTAGATTCTAGGAAACATTGGGACATTTTCTCCATGCCCAGAAAATAAAATAAACAAAAACAATCATATTTATTTTATGGGAATTGGAGGTTGGTGGAGGCACCAAGCCGCGTGCCGTTACCAAAAACGGACACTCGGACACGTCACCGTCACAGGAGTCAGTTTACCAAAAGGTCCCTGAATCTGTCCGTCTGGGGCGCGTTCAGATTGAACACTCCGGGCGAACTGCGGTCTGCGAGTGCGGTGCAGAGCAAAAGGCTCTCCCAAACCAACGCGAATTATTCGCACCGGATTCGTGACGGAGAATCCCCACCGAATTTCATGGCGGATTCCGGAGGAAGTCTCACACCAAAGCGAACATAAACGTCATAAACCGAATTTTCGCGACGAATGTAGTTCATCCAAGAACGAACCATAGTTCATCCGTGACGTCATGAGTTTGAACGCTGGCTAGAAGCTCCATCCATGCTTCCGTCGAACTTTAACCGAATTTTCGCGACGAGCTACTTCCATGATTTCATGAACACAAACGCTTTCGCGAGAAACTCATGACGTCATATTGAACGTAGTTCGACCAGGGTTGTTACAAGCTACACAATTGAGTAGTTTGCTACACAATTGGACTATCGATTACACAGGTGCACCCCAATAACTAATTTCATCTGTTTGCTACACTTTTTAATAAACTGCACAGAAATGCTACACAATGGATAAATTACCTATTCCGTAACTCAAAATTCTTGAAACGGTAGTGAATTCAGCCACTAAGGGCAGGTATTATAAAACTACTTTGAAAGTTAACTTCTGGAATTACATGTAATTCAAAAAGTTAACTGTCAAAGCAGTTTTATAATACCCGCCCTAAGTGGCAAAAGATGTCGCAAGCGTTCAGTGTCAGAGTCGAGATCTGTGGGCCCAGATTCTGAACCCACGATTCAATAGTATCGCCCATGAGGTCTGTCAAACCAGTCAGAGTCAATTTCATTGGTTGAAACTAGTTTTCTGACTGTTTCTGTCCAATGAAATTCGCTCTGACTGGTTTGTGATTTCTGCAGAAACAGACCTCATATAAATATAAGGTCTGTTTCCACAGAAATCACAAACCAGTCAGAGCGTTTTTGATTGGTCCAAATCGCCAACAACCAGTTTCCTGATTATTTTCTCCCAATGAGATTCGCTGTGCCTGGTTTGTGATTTCTGTGAAAACAGACTTAAGCATAGTACTCATAACTGCGAAATTCGCATTTTTTTGACATTGCTTCGACAATTTGACGTTTGATACACGCATAAAACGTCAAATTGTCAACGCAATGTCAAAAAAATGCGAATTTCGCAGTTATGAGTACTAGGCTTTATAGATAGACGTTACTATCGAATTGTGGGTTCTGAATTAGGGCACTAGTTCTGTAGCTGTGCTCGCGAAGCAAAAGATGTTGCGAGCGCCTGCTGTCAGATGCCTATTTGATTGTCAGATTTACAGTGCACAATTGCTTGAATTGCTACACAATAGGGATAAAATAAAAAAATCCCGTTTAACAATCATCAAATTATTAAGCATCGTTTCTTAAGTAAATTTACAAAATTTTATGAAAATCAGAAAATTCTTTCTATGAGAAAAACGGAGACTAAATATCAATATTCGTTTAAAAGCAAGAAACGCTCGCTGACGTCATAATGTGTAACGAGTTAGCGCGCGCAAGTACAGTGGCGCTACTTTCTACTTGGATCTACAGTGACTCTATAACCCACAGTGGCGACAATTGCTGTCTTATTTTTGATTGGTTCAAAAATCCCATATATTTATATTGAAAATGCCGCCATCTTGTTCCCAACCCCTTGTTACTTTTAAATATGAATATATGGGATTTAGGTGAACATCCATCAAAATCATGGAAAACAACGTATTTGATGGACCTAATAATGGTCATCAAATACGTCGATTCCAATTTTTTATGATAGATGTCCATTTAAATCCTATATATTAATATTTAAAAGTAACAAGAGGTTGGGAACAAGATGGCGGCGGGGACCTCTATTGTCGCCACTGTATGTAAAGGTTTATTTAGCCACTGTACTTGGATCAGCCTTTTGTGACGATTCTTCTGCGATTTTTGTTGGCAATAAAAAATATTAATATTATTATTACTATAAGTGTCTTTTTCTTTCATATGCATTTAGATAAAGATACTGATGAACTAATTGGTGATTGAATGTTAGGAAGCACCCTGAATAGTGAACTCTATTAATTGTCCAGATACTTTCTACAATGAGCGGAAGAGAGACAAATATATTGTAGGCAATTTATCGTAAATAATTCCGCAACGTGACTTCACAAGCGCTACTCTCGCCGCAAGGGGTCGTTTTGCTAGCCTCGCTAATTTCGTTTTTTTGTTTTCGATTTATTAGAAAAAATTAAGGGTTTCTAGCGTTTAATACGTGTTTTGTGGACCTAGAACCACCACTTTTTATTACAATTGGAAAATAGTGAACATTCCTATTTCAATGTGGAAAATTACACATTCAAAAATTGGTCTGTAACAACCCTGAGTTCGACGGAAGCATGAATGCAGCTTCTAGCAAGCGTTCAAACTCATGACATCACAGACGAACTATGGTTCGTCCTTGGATGAACTACATTCGTCGCGAAAATTCGGTTTTTGTTCAATATGAAGTTCAATATGACTTTCTCGCGAAAGCGTTTGTGTCCATGAAATCATGGAAGTAGTTCGTCGCGAAAATTCGGTTATAATCGCATCATTTACGTCATATTTTCAGCAGGGCCGGATCTACGAATTTTTCGAGGGGGGGCAAAGATGTGAATTGCCGCCTCCTGCTAAATATTATTTTTTATGTATATATCAAAAATGAGGTGTTGAATTTCACAATTTATTTACATGTAGCAGTAGCGGCTCGTGGTCTATACTGGAAGGGGTTCACACCTAAAGTGATCCAGTAGTTGAAGCCCAGCGCGTGGGATCCAGAGTTATAGCGCACCGCAGGTGCCTCCAAAGGCAGAAATTATTTTCGGGTGCCACGCCCAAAACCGTATTTCAAGCCTCCAAAAAAAATTTATTGGGATATCAAAGATTATTGATTAAAAGAACTTAATTTCTTTAATCGCTCAATGTTTGACAAGTCTTTTTATTTTTATCTGGGGGCTGGTAGCGCACAATACATAGCTGTGGTCGGAGCCGAATTCAATGTTGTACTGTTGTACAACCAACAACCAGGGATGCTATCAGAATCAGCACCAATGAACTAAACTAAGCGGCAGATGAAGTGGGACACCCGAAAAATTGTCTAATTTTGACTTGCTATAACTTCGACATTTCTTTGCCGATCTTGGATTATCAGGCAGGGTTACAAAGCGCCATCTTTGGTCTATGCGTCAGTGTCGTCCTACATTTAAAAAAAAAAATTCTTCTCGTTATACAGGGTCTGAATGTGAGGCGGTGAAAATTTTCCATTTTTTGGCGAAGAATATGGGAAAGATGGAGGGTCCAATAAAGTTCTTTCTAGTGGTGACTCGATCACTAGGTCAACACCTCGAGACGTCTTTGCCATTTTTTCGATACATTGCGTTGCTATGGAAATATGGCCATTTTATGGTATTTCGTTTTACTCTTGAAATTAACGATTCTTTAATTAAACAATAACAGATTCCGTTTAAATTGCATCATGGAATGACTTGTATAGAAAATGGTCAACACCAGTGCAAAAGGGAATTTATCAAATTAAAAAAAAAAATGGATTTATTTGAAAATTTTAACGGTTTTGTTGAGCGTTACAGTTAAAAAGTTGTTATAAATAACTGTGATGAGTTTGATTTTGATATTTAGAAGCGTTTAGTAGTAACAGTATTTTTCATGTTATTTAATGTTAACGTGTGCACAGACCTGTTAACGGTACTGCTGCTTACCGACACGGTGGAGGATCTCAAAAAAGAACAAATCCTTGTCAGGATCGACTAGTACGTACTGCAATTGAAAATAGAGTTTGGACTGTCAAGAGAATCCTAACGCATCTGCAGTTGAATGTTTCGGCAGACACCATTAGAAGGCGCCTACATGACCAGGGATTAAATTCTCCCATCGGGCAAAGTGCCCACTTTTTACAAACATTCACCGGGGGAACAGAAAAAGATTGGCCCAGGAATACCTGAATTATTGGGATTTTAGGTGGAGAGACTGTCTTTTCGTTGATGTATGCCGTTTTAACCTCTACAATTCTGACGGCCGATTGCTAACCTGACGGAGATGGGGAGAACGTTTTTTAGAAGAAAACATGCGTCCCCAAGTTGCATTTGGCGGTGGAGGATTGACAGTTTGGGTCGGTATCTAACACATCGGAAGAACAGAACTCGTCGTATCGTGGTATTTTGGGGCAACGTTAACGGCCAAGTGTCCCTGGATAAATGTCAGATTCCGCAAGTTCTCCGACATGCTCGAAATTATGGCGGGGATTTTGTTCTTGTAGACGATAATGCTCAGCCTCATCGAGCATTATTAGTGAACCGGTATCTGCAAGGGCAAAAGTTCAATCGTACCGAATTGCCTCCTAGATCCTCAGACATGAATCCAATTGAGCACGTCTGGAGCTGAATCAAGTTAGAGCTTTCCCGGGGAGAACGTCAGCCAGAAGCTCTAAACGATCTCGAGGAGATGATTCTGGAGCTCTGGGAGTCAGTTACTATAGAGCTAATTAACCGAATAATTTCGAGGGTGTCAAGGCGGTGTCACGCAGTTAGTCAGGCTAGAGGAGAACCAAAATGACACCATATCAGAGTTATTTATAACACCTTTTACACCCATATGCACCGTATGGACTTGGGAGTTTACTCTCGCTTAGTTCGAAAATTTGCATATAAAAGAGAAGTCCTAACCTGGTTCCAGCAACTAATCTGAATTGAGTCCTTAAGCTAAAGGTGCATTTGAGCGTTAAATTTTAAGGCTCAACAAAACTTAAAAATTTCAGATAAAATCATTTTTTTTTATTTTAATTTCATAAACCCCCTTTTGCACGCCACTGGTGTTGACTATTTTCTATACAAGTAATTCCATGATGCAATTTAAACGGAATCTGTTATTGTTCAATTAAAGAATCGCT